TCGCACCCCCCGGTACAGGGTCCGGATCCGGCCCCGCGTCGTTCCCTTTCCCCCCGGTGCGCACCCCGATCCCCATCGCCCACCTCCCCACCCGGGTCCGGCCGCACCGGGCAGCGACCCCAAAACCCCCAGCAGCATCCCCTGGCGCTGAGCCCCCCCTCGCTCCCCATTCCGGCACCCAGAGCCCCACCGGCCTCGAAGGCGTGGGCACCCACGGGTGGGACGAGGGGCCACGTCCCCCTGCCTCACCTGTCCCCGCTGGGCTGCAGCAAGGGGCTGACGCTGAGACACCCCGACGGCGCCGTCCCAGCTATATTTAGCGGGGCCAGGCTCTTATCCGGGTTACTCATTTGTTTACCCGAGCCGGATTCCTGCGTCCGGAGGAGGGGGGGGAGTCTTGCCGTGCCGCCCTCCCAGTGGGACCCACATCGGCCCAGCTTTGCTGGGCTGGTACCGCAGCGGGGCCTCGTCCTCCAGCCTGGGAGGGGGACGTGGCCGCTGACCCCCACAGAGGGCCCTGAGACCTGGGAATGGGGAGGCAGCGGCTCCTGGAAGGAGGGTGGAGGAGGGCCGAGATCCCACACAGACGTGAGGGGGTGACCCCTCAGCTGCATCCCTTGGTGGCCCCTGCAGCACCGGCTCTCCCTACCCCAGGGGATGCAGCCAGATGCAGCCCAGGGGTTTTCACACACTGGGGGTTTTTCCCAGCCCAACTGCTCTGAGCTCACTGTGTCACTGCGCTGCCCAAAACCACGGCCAGTCAGGCTTGCAGGGTGGCACGTCCCCAGGCACTGTCCTGCGGGGGCGTGGGAGCTGCAAGAGGCGGGGGACGTGATGGCCTCCACTGCTGCTCTTCATGGTCTGCTGGGGAGGGCGGAATCCATCCCTGGCGCTGGCATCTCCATCCGACGCTGGAGCACTGGGAGCGTCTGAGCCCACGGGTGATGCAGGGCCACCCCATGCATCCAGCATCCCATCAAGGCCAGTGAGGCTGGGGGTGCGGGCAGCCGGGTTGATGCTCAGAGGCCCGAGCAGGAGGTTTTCCTGCCACTACCTTGGCACTGCTGGGCTGCAGACCCCATCCCTCGGTGTGGAGCGAAGACTGTCAAAGCAAAAGCCCAGGAGGAGGGTGAACAGTTGGAGCCTGCAGAGCTGGAAGGTGGCTGGCCCTGGCAGGGGGAGGGTGCTGGGAGCAGGAGCAGCCTTGCCATGAGTGGAACCTGGCTCAGCAGCCGGCTGCCGTGCCCGGATGCTGCTAGGGTGTGCCGACCCTCCTGCCATCCTGGCCCCCTGTGCAGCTGTGCTTACAGAGGATGTGGGCACCAGGGTGCCAAAAGTGGCTCTGCACCAACCTGCCACCACCCTGGCATGAACCTGGCTGAGCTGCTGCTGCTGTCTCTGGGAGCAGAAAAGAGTTGTGCCTCTCAAACCCAGCCCAGGGCTCTGCCGTGGCAAACCACAAGGCAGAGGAACGTAACCAGCTCCCCCTGAACTATAGGGGAGATGTGGGGAAGAGCACTGAGCAGCCAGGGCTGGAAAAAAACACCTTGGGCTTCAGCTGGATCCAGCCCCTGAGCCGGCTGCAGTGGGTGCTGGCTGCAACAGCTCCCGGGGTTCAGGCTCTCGTGTCCCACCAGTGGCTCTGTCCACGCCACAAAGTCAGGGATGTGGGGAAAAGGTAGTGCCTGGGAGGGGACATGGACCCTGTCCAGGCTGGGGACACAGAGGGATGTTTTTGGGGGAGTCCCCCAACTGTTTGTGGGTGCCAAGGAAGGAGAGGGTCTGTGAGCAGGGGGGCTCTGCCAGGCACTTAAGAAGGGAGGGTACCCATCCACTGGGTTTGGGTTTTTTCCCCCCTATTTCCTCCAAAGCCATCCCTGGCCGGGCCTTCACACACTTCCTGCACTGAACTCAGGCCCCAAAATCCCCCTGTGCCAAGCAGCCGCTCAACGGCTTTAAATAACCCACAGGAAGGAGAGGCCGGGGGTTGTGTCCCGGTGCAGCCGCCAGCTGAGGGATGTCCGGCAGGATGGGGAAGGGGCACCCGCGCACGGGGCCCAGGCGGTTGGGGTCTCCCCCGTCCCCGGGCAGGCTGAGCCCCAACCCGCGTGGGTGGCCGTTGCAGGCATGGGAGCCCCTCCTGAGCGTGAGCTCCCACGGTGTTTGCAGGGCTGGATCCTGCCCGTAGTGCCAAGAGCAGTAGGACGGGGCGACCATCCTGAGCTATGGGGGGAAAACAACAGCCGACAGCTGTAGGGCAGCCCCTGAGGCCAGGGAGTCCCCACACCGCAGGGCTGGCTCTGTTCTGGTGCTGGGTGACCTGGGCAGCCCCTGAGCCCCTCCGCCGTGGGGCTGTACCGGGGACAGGATGCAGCGAGGCCCACAGGGAGCAAACAACCTTGCTGCAATAGTTCACGGCCAAGACGGAGTTTTCCTGGAGGCTGCGCCACTGGACATTACTCATACCCCAGCATCCCCTCCTGCCTGCTGCACCACAGAGCCAGGATACCCCGAAGGTCTGGGAGCTGGTGGGGATGGGGCCACGTGGGGCACTCCCAGACGAGTGTGGCTGTGCCCCATGGCCATCACCCAAAGGCACTGGTGCCAGCGAGTCCCAAGTTCAGCCCTGAAGTGCTCCCCAATGTGCCTGAAATCCGCTGAGCATTGCTCAAGGCCCTTAGAGACCCCCACCTCAGCGACGGGGGTCTGGGGAGCATGGCTTGCTCTGGCCCAGGGCAGCAAGAGCCACTCAGGCACAGGGTAGGAGGGACCACAGGCTGTGGAAACCGGATTTTCCCCTGTAAGGAGATATTCCATCTAACACCCCTCTCCTCCTCCCCGCCTCTGCCTTGCAGCCACTGAACCCTTTCAAGATGCAGCCAGGGTCAAGCGAGGTGCTGCCGCTCCCAGGCTGGAGAAGCCAGATGCCGGGGGGAACGTGCCAGAAATGGGGCCAGCTGGGAGGGCGATGGACCCAAGGAGGTCTGCGGCATTGAGACCACTGGGGCAGGGTTGTGCTCGTGGAACAAAGGGTGCCGCAGTTCCAGCTGGAGGGTGTCAGGGCTGGACATGTCTGGCACTGGTGATGGGAGCATAGGGAGCTGGAACAGGCAAGGGGAGCGCACAGGGCTGGCAGCATGGGGGGAGGGGGTGACAGACCCCAGAGGCATGGGGGTGAGGACACCCCCCCCAGCACTACCCAGCCCCCAGGGGAGCAGGGGAGCTCCCTGTGCTGGCCCAGTGTGGTACTGGCTGGTGATGATGTACGGGAGAGCTGCATCATACCAAGCAGTGTGGGGGGTCCATGCGCAGGATCCCAAGGTTTAAACAACCTCTATTTATTTATACCAAAGTCTCAGGGTCCCTTAGGATAAAAGCAAGGACAGGGAAAACCCTCAGGAATAGTCCCTGTGCTGGGCCAGGCCTCAGGGACATCTATGGGACAGTGTCTGACAGGGATGAGACACTCCTGGCCACCCCCTGTGCCAGGGGTCCAGAGGGGAGTTGAGCAGCCCCTTATCTGCGGTAACGGTAACGCTTGAAGTGGAACCAGAGCTGGAAGATCCCGTTGGCAAACTGGCAGCGGAAGCCGTGGCGGTGGGAATACTCCCACTCACGGTTGACGATCTTGAAGGCAATGTCCTCATAGGGGGGCCCAGCGTGGAAGCGCAGGATGGCAAAGTCCTTGTTGTCCTGGCAGGCCTCCAGGAAGTACTCGGGCGTCGAGCGCTTGTCGATGAGGTCGGGGTAGAAGATGTTGAACTTGTAGCCCTGCACGATCTTGGGTGGGGGGTTGTCAAAGTCGTAGTGGGTCTGGTTGTACTTGTTCCACTCGAAGCCTGTGTGCACCCGGTTGAAGAAGCGGGGCTTGCGGGGCCGGTACTTGTCAGCCCAGAGATAGGCCTTGCCTGTGAGGGGCATTTCCACGCTGAACTGCGCCTCGTCCGCGCCCATGCCCTCTTTGGCCTTACGGAAGAAGATGTCATCAGCGCTCTCAGTGGCATCACCTGTAGGGAGGAGAGGTGATGTCCGATCCTGCAGTGCCAGTCAGGCCCGGGCTGTGGGGACACTGCTCCCAGGCATGCAGAGGGAAGAAGCAGCAGATGCCAGGCAGGGGATGCGGAGCTGGACATGGAGATGTGCACGCTGCCCTGTGGGCTTTGCGTGGGCACCGGACTGAGTTGTGCTGGCAAACTCATCCAAAACAATCTTCCCACTTATCCGCAGCCCAAACAGCTTGGTGGTGTGGCTGGGAGTGGGGAAGGACCCGACATGGGTACCCGCAGGGAACACCAATGGTCTGAGCCCCATCTCCCTGCTCTTGTCCGGGCCGCAGCACCCTTTGCTGCCTGGGGGCATCCCTCCGCCAGGCCAGCTCTGGATGTGTGCTCCAGATCCAGCCCTTACTCACCCTTTTCTGAGGGCAGTGTTCCCCTCCAGCCCTGCACCCCGAACCACACGCACGTCCTCCATGCCAGGCAGGCTGCGAGGTCGGTGGGCGCAGACCTGCCTGTGGGGCTCCTACCTGTGACTTGGAGCTGCTGACGCAGAAGCAGCAGCCGATGCGTATCCTCCTCGGCCTCCAGAACGTGGGCGTCAAAGGGCAGCTCATTGGTGCCCAGCAGCCGTGGGCTGTACTTCCCCGCGTCGTAGTCGTCCAGGCTTTGCTGGATCAGGTCCTCCTCCATCAGCACGGCTTCCCCCTCTGCCTCTCCTTTGGCCTCTGTGTCCTGCTCAGCCTCTGGCTCCGAGGACGGCCCTGGCTGTACCACAATGCTCTCATCAGGATCCAGCCTGCAAGGAAGAGAGAAGAAAGAACTGGGACGGGGATGGTACCCTTGTTCTCTGCTCACCTGAGGTCCGTCTATGGAAGGATGGCTGCACAAGGCTGCATTTTCTGTCCCAGGTGCCCCATGGGAGAGGCCCAGATGGCTGCGCTCCCCAAGGAAAGGGCTGCGTACCTGTCGCTGGGGGAGGCCGGCTCCCGCTTGATGATGGGGAAGAGTGGTTCACTTTCCACACCCTGCTCCTGCTTCAACTTGTACAGCTTCTGGCGCAGCACATCCTGGTGCCGCTCCCGCAGCCTGCAAAGAAGAGATGAGCCGTCAGGTCCCACCCAGCAGAACCACCTCACGCCCACAGTGCCCAGAGCTGTGACACCCACCACATCTGGCAGAAATCTGCCTGGTTTTGTATGGTTTTGGGCTGAATAACCCTCCAGTTTGGTTCCCTCTTGGAGACCTCACTGTAAACATCACTGCTGGAGAAAGCATTGAGTGTCCAGCCCTACTCCCCTCTTGGGAGAACCAACCATCTTGGAAAAGGTATAAAACTCCTCCACTGACTGGGGGTTTGTGCCGCCCCAGCTCTGCCCACAGAGGGGTCTGCACTGCCCCTTTCCACAGCCCTGGCCAGGGGACAGTCCCTGCTCTCACCTGGCCCGAGCCATGTAAGCCTTCAGCTGCTGCAGCAGGCTCTCCCAGTACCCAATGTCAAGGTTGGGTCCTCCTGCCCGGATCTTGCTCTCGATGCCCTGGTACAGCACTTGGAGCTGGTTGTATGTCTTCCCCTTGAACACAGACTGCACATCTGAGCTGACAGAGGCGTTGACACCATCCCGACGCTCCCCTGAACAGACAGGCAAGGGCAGCCGCTCAGTCTCTGAGTGCTCAGCCTGCCTTCACCCAGGCCCTCCTGGGCTGCACCTGACAGCAGAAGGCTGGACCCCAGCAGGGGATGCCTGCCAGATCCACAGCCTCCATCCAGCAGATCCCAGAGAACCCCTTTGAGCCTGAGCGCACACAGCAGACCCTACACCCTGCTTTACCCACCACTCACACTCCTCTTGACACCCCACACCAGGCTCTGCCCTCCTGCTTACCTGGTCCTCCTTTCCCAGAGGCCTCCAGTTTGCGGAGCTTGGCTATCTCATCCTCTGTGATGATGGTCATGTCTCTCCAGAAGTCCACATTCTTCCCTTGCTCCAGCTCCATGTAAACCTGCAGGCAGGAGCCAAGCAAGACATCAGGCACCAGCTCTGCACCATGGGCAGGGAAGCAGAGCTGAGGGGGGAAAGCCTTGAGCTGCTGCCCCTCAGCCAGTCCCAGCACAGGGGCAGCAGAGCTGGCACCTGGATGTCCTCCACCAGATCCTCCATGTCGGAGACAGTCAGGCCGTTCAGGAAGGTGTAGGGCTCGTGCATCTCCACAGCCAGGTCGTCATCCTCCGCGCTGATGTACTTGGCCAGAAGGTCAATGGGTTTCGCCCTCCCATCCCGAATCCGGATCTTAGACCTGGGCGAGAGAAGAGAGACAGCAAGTGGTGCCTGCCACCCTCTGCTCTCTGGCAGCCCCGTTCCTGCAAAGCTGCACACCTACCGCAGCTTGGCCTGCTGCAGGTGGAAGTTGTCCTCCTGCTCCTCCCAGGTTTTGAAGTGCTCTGCCTCCTTCTCCCGCTGCAGCATCTCCAGCTCCTGCTCACGCATTGCCTTCTCCCGCTCCCGCTCCAGGCGTAGCTGCTTCACCTGCCCGGGTCGGAGGGATACGTGAGGCGACTGCAGATGGGGCACCCATGCACTACACCCATTTGAGGATGCAGTTGTAACCCAGCTCACTGAGCTGCCTCAGCTCCTGCAATCGGCCCGAGGCTCCCAGGGAGCCAGAAGCCATGTGGAAGGAGAACCAGCATGGGCCAGTGGGCCGGGCTGCTTGCTGCTCACTGCCAGCCCTTTGGAGGACAGGGGTGTCCTGGTTGCAGCTGGGATAGAGTTAACTGTCTTCCTAGTAGCTGGTACAGTGCTATGTTTTGGGTTCAGTATGCGAAGAATGTTGATAACACTGATGTTTTCAGTTGTTGCTAAGTAATGTTTAGACTATAGTCAAGGATTTTTCAGCTTCTCATGCCCAGCCATCGAGAAAGCTGGAGGGGCACAAGAAGTTGGCACAGGACACACAGCCAGGGCACCTGATCCAAACTGGCCAACAGGGTATTCCATACCATGTGACGTCCCATCTAGTATAGGAACGGGGAAGTGGGGGCAGGGAACTGCCGCTTGGGGACTAGCTGGGTGTCGGTCGGCGGGTGGTGAGCAATTGCCCTGTGCATCATTTGTACATTCCAATCCTTTTATTACTACTGTTGTCATTTTATTAGTGTTATCATTATCATTATTAGTTTCCTCTTTTCTGTTCTATTAAACCGTTCTTATCTCAACCCACGAGTTTTACTTCTTTTTCCCGATTTTCTCCCCCATCCCACTGGATGGGGGGGAATGAGTGAGTGGCTGCATGGTGCTTAGTTGCTGGCTGGGGTTAAACCACGACAAGGGGACACAGGCACAACCAAGTGCCTCAGTGCCGTGACCTGGCACTTATCCTCCTCAGCACCGCCTGAGCTGGACTCAACCCCAAGGGAAGAGTCTTCTCAACCTAGAATAGCAGAAGTCAGTATACTGTGGCCCCCCTGATCCTACATCCTACCACCACCCCCAGTGAGAACAAGGGGACTTCCAGGTGAGCAACTGGGAGAACTGGGCTGTCCACAAGGTTCTCTTGTCAGACTGTGGGATAGAGGGGATATCCGATCCCACCTTCTGCAGCTCCAGGCGATTGTCCTCCTGGATTCGCTTATTCCTCTCCTTCAGGTCCTTCTCATCCAGGTGGCTGATCCCTTTCTTTTCCAGTGCCTGAAATAGAGTGGCCAAGGGAAGCCATGAAACCCAGCAACCTCTACAGCCCCTGCACTGGCCAGCAAATGCCACCACATCCACCTGCTTCTGGTGCTCCAGAGAGCCCTGATCCTGTTGAAGGTCCCCAAATCCCTCACATCCTCCTCCTGCAGCGCCTCAGTGAAACCTGGGCTCAGTCTAGGGAGGCCACCCAACTTGGCGAGCCCTAACACACCAGTAAACACTGCCCAGTACTCAGCCTGCAGCTCCCAGCAGGTCTGGGTCCCTCTCCTGCATCCTGACCCACATCCTCATCCCACACCCCTGGCTAGAGACCTTGGTCTTCAGGAAAAAGGGGGTAAAACCCCACTGAGCTTGTCAGAAACACCCAGCTGCCGCCCTAGACAAGCGCTTTGCTCTCACGTGGCTGCTCTAGTGTTACAGAGGTTCCTACCTCAAGCAAATGTCCCCCGCCCCGACACTCCCTGCTCCTCTGTCCTGTTCCAAGGCAGCTGCAGAGGCCTGATCTACTTCAAGTAGCCTCCTACAACACATGGGCATGGAGGAGGGCTCACCTTGCTCCAGATGAAGGTGCCCAGCAGGTTGTTGTCCCCAAAGGGATTGTCGGTGTTGGTGTAACCCATGTACTCCTCTCCCCACCCCATCTTCTCCCGCTTCTTCCTCTCCTTGGCCTCCTTCTTGGCCAGCCGGCGAGCCCGTTTCTCCTCAGGCGTCTCCAAGGCTTTCATGAGCGCAGCCTGCTTCTTCTTCTCCTCCTTCAGCCTCAAGCGCTCCTGGAGGCTCAGCTGCTGCCCCGTCTCCTCCCTGCCCCGGGAGCGCGGCGGGGAGGGAGAGCTGACGGAGGACACAGAAGACTTGGAGCCATCTCTCTTCCTCCATCGCTCTCTGCTCCGGGCTCTCCTCTTGTCTCGCTCGCGCTCCGAGCTCGAGCCGGAGGAGCAACCCCGGGACCGTGAGCGGTGCTTCTTCTGGTTTTTATGGTGCTGGTCCCTGCTTTTGCTTTTCTTCTTCTTCCATTTCTGTCTCTCATCACCAGAGTCAGAGCTGAGTGGGGGGAAAACCGACTTTCAGTTAGGAGATGGCTGTGGGCTCCGTGTCAGACAACAAGCACTCTGGAGCGGCGAGCGTGTTTCCCTGCTGCAGATACGGCCAGAACCGACCCGGGCCGCAGCCAGAGCCACCAGCGGAGCCGAGCAAGCTCAGAGGCGCTCCCCGGTACCACCCCCTCCCCCCAGCTGAACCCCAAACGGGCTGGTTTTGTGTCACCACAACTCTTTCCAAACCACTCACCGGCCCGGGCGTATTCAAGCCTC